AAACGGTGGAAAGGGGAGTCGGGAGATGGAGGAGAGGAAGGAGGTGGCAAAGAGTCAGAGTGACGGAGCGAGGGAGGAGAGAGGGAGGGCGTGAGCCTCCGGGAGGACGGAGGAGACTCACCTGACGGAGGGTCGTAGTATGGAGACAGGTGGGAGATCGGCGGGGGAGGAGGGAGGCAGATGGTGGAGATGGCGGTGTTTGGCGGGGCGTAGTGCCGGGCAGGTGGTGGCAGAGGTCCTGAAAAGGTAAAGCTGCACGGGTTGAGGGCGGAGCCACGTCTGGGTCCAACCATCAGCACCTTCTTGGTGTAGTTGTTCAAGGTGGAGACACCGGCGGACATGCAGACGGTGAAGGCAAACCAGGCCACACTGCAGAGAGAGAGGGGGGAGAGAGAGACACTTAAATATTCACTCAAGTATAGAAGTAACTATAGATGTAACTGTACTCTTAACTAGATTACTAACTACACCCTGAGCTCACTTAAAAATACACTCAAATATACAAATAATTTTACACTAAATTTTACACTCATTGAGCTCACTTAAAAATACACTCAAATACACAAATAATTTTACACTAAATTTTACAATAATTATCACTTAATTTTTGGAGCCATTCTGACCAGACTGTGAAGATATAACCCTACAGCGCCCTCTATAGGAGAAAAAAAAACTTCTGTTAATTTTTTTTTTCTTTTTTAATTTTTACTAGTTTTTTTTTTTTTAGCGATGAGCAGCCTGACTGACTACGAGCTACGGGTAAACCAGCCGTAGATGCGAGTGTTTGATTGGAGGAATGACCTTGACCTTGAGGTCAAGGAGCAGAGAAGAAGAGCGGCCGTGGCTTTATTTTCTTCCTTGTTTCCGTGACAACCGTACATTTTGATCTCGAGATGAAGAGAATTTTTTTTGCAAATACCATAAAGAGGGTTTGGGAAAAAATAAACAGCAGACTGGCAGCAACTTTGAAAATTAGATTTTTTTTTGTTTTTGTTTTCACTGCTCTGGATTTTTGAGTCATGTGACTTTTAACGTTAGGAGAACAAACGGCCGTTTCTGCTGCAGCTCGTAAAAATATTTTGGGAAGTTGTTAACGTTCCCATTGCATTTGAACGACAGTATTCCCACTGGGACGCTGTGAACTGAGGATCCCTGTGACTCAGAGCAGATCAAGTCAGATTTGTCCTTTAAAAAAAAAAAAGAGTTGAATTTTTAGAAGTCTGAACGTTTACAAAACTTCATTCAATTCTCCCAAAATTCTGAAACAATTAGAATTTTTTGGGGAAATTTTTAAAGACCTTATATTTTACAAAAGAAGTTTCGGTCAATTATTTATTTATTTTTTTACTATTTTTTTTTTTTACTACTCCAACAGTCGACGGCGAAGATGATCGGCTTCTAGACCCAAGAGGTTTTCAACAGAAATACTGCAAACCCCTAGGGGTCCATGGAGGTAGTGCAGGGAGGGTGGGAGGTTTAGGGAAACTTTTATATAAACTTTTTATATTTTTAAATTATTTTTCCAACTTAACAGATAAACAGAAATATCTCCAACACAGTGTAGTAAACAGATAAAATAATTTTTCCTCATGACTTTTAATTTAACGCTGATCTCGCGCCGACCGAACCGGGGCCGGGCGGAGGCAGTCAGAGGGGCCGGACGTGGCCTGCGGACCATAGATTGCCCAGATCTGGTACTAGATTGAGATTGAACAGACTTACTAGAAGGTCCAGGAGTAGCCGTAGCTGTGGGGTTTGAAATCCTCCGGTCCCATCGAGACGGTGGTTTGAAACACCTGCATGAACATCATGTGACCCACCATCCCCAGGAGACCTGAAGAGACAGGGTGAGGGTAAAAGGTGACGTTGGTGGTCTCTCTAGTAGCTGTAGTATTCAGTAGCAGTATTCACACAGTACCTCCTAGTACTGTGAAGACGGCGGCGAAGGCGTTGAGGAGCTGGCCCCAGCGCTGGGTGGACGGGAACCAGGCCTTGAGGCACAGCTGCACAGACAGGAGTAAGGAGCTGATGAAGAGGAGAGCCACGTAGAGGAGCTTTTACACCAGGGACAGCCACATCATAGCTGCAGGGAGAGGGGGTGAGAGGGGGAGGGGGAGGGGGTTGTAAAACTATCAGTCAAAGAAGAGTGTCGTCAACATAGAAATGTACAGCAAAAAAAAAAAAAGAAGAATCTAATTTACCTTTTTCAGATCTTGGGGTTAAATAGTAGAAACTTCGACACTTCTCTTCTGGAAATTAAAAAAAGAAAATGTTAAAATAAAAAAGAAACGAGTAATAACCGATAACCAGCAGAGATTTGAACCAACAGCCATAAACGTGTGTGATAACAGTCTTATGTACACAAGGGGGCGCTGCAGAAACAGTTTAGAAGCCACTGATGGAGCTAGCTAGTTTTAAAAGTTTTAAAAACTTTACATTAAACTGTCTCACCCCAGGCGTCCGTGTAGATGTTCTCCTCACAGGTGACGAACAGGCCGGTGTGAAATGTCGGGAAGATGAAGCGGTCGTCTCCGGTTTCCCAGGAGAAGAGGATGCTGGAGGAGTTGGAGACGCCCGGGACGGGGATGCAGTTGCTGTGTTTGGTGGGCGAACACAGAGGTTTGGGCACCTTCTGTTTACCCACGCACCAGTGGGAGGACAGCAGGGCGAAGCCGCCCAGCAGAAGGGACAGGGTCGTCTGGATGAAGGACAAGCAAGGAGAGCGCACCGGCTGCAACAGCGCCATCATGCTGTGGGGGCGGGAGGGTTCGAGCTGATGGAAGAAAAAAGAAGAATGAGAATCAAATGGAGTCGAGCTGAATTATGAAGCACGTATATATATATATATATATATATATTTCAATGAAATCACTTGGAAAACACACATAAATGTTTGCATTTGATAGTTTTGTCCTCCACTGTGCAGTGAACAGACCTGGATTAGAAAAACTGATTTACAGATTATGACTTTTTCCTCCTCTTTTGTTTCCGTCTGAGGTGGAGACTCAGAGGTGACTCCTGGTTTCTCCTCGTTCCTTCAGCTACAGCTCCTCCACCCGTCACTATAAATACCAGCAGCACGTTTTCAGTTTCCAAGGAGAAGCTGCTCCGACCCGTCGGCTGATTAGCACGATGCGTTCGGAGAAGTCGCAGGTCGACGGTGACTAATCACAGGAACAGAAAAAAAAGAAAAAAAAAGAACCGTGACAAAAAAAAATCACTACAGTCTGGGGGCAAAAAAAGAAAAACCCCTGAAGAACTTTGTGTGAAAAACGTCGCCACGTGGAATCCGTCCTGTAGGGGGAGCTTGGTTTCTGTGGAGATGAAATTTTATTTTTAATGACAGACAAAAAAAATAAAAATAATAAACACCCACTCACCTCATCAGCTTGTTTTCTCTGCAAGAAGTGATGGAGACGTTTGGCCGTTACACTGACCTCAGCATGCAGAGCACACACACACACACACACACACACACACACCTCGTTAATCCATTTGTCTAAATCCTGAGACAGATCACTCTGTTCCATCTGTTTTCATTTCAGACTGACTTTAATCCACTGTCACTCATCTCTGTCTCTGCAGCTGTGTTTGTTGTTGTCGTTGGTTTTTTTTTGGTTTTTTTTCCCTCGTGTGTAAATTCCACTCCACGACCTTGACACGGTGAACAAATAACGCCAACGCAGGCTGTTCCATGAATAATAAAACAATTCATATCCATATCTTATGTATGTATGTGCAGTCATTTGGAGGAGTTGGTGACCTCTCCACAGAGAGGTCACAGGGGTCAAGGTTGTAATGGCTGAAAATCATCATTTCAAAGTGTAATCTTTTTCCTGCAGGTGAATTAACGGACGAAACCACAGACTGGAAACACAAAATATAGGCAGAAAAAAAAAGTCACAGACTGGAAACACAAAATATAGGCAGCGATGATACAACTAAGACAAAAAAAAGTATTTTAAATAGAAAAATAAAAAAAAAGTTTTGTCATTTTGCTGTTGGAGTGTACGGCTCGACCACACGGCGGCGCTCTGTGCTAACGTATCCCAGCCATCCGTTACAAGAAGACAACCATGAAACAATAATGTTGTACTTGGACACTCAACTCACACACCAGGGCAATAATACAACTGTTATAGCGCCCCCTGCGGGGCAAGGAAGGAGACTGCGTTTGATAACAGTAAGGCAAGAATTGATGCATGTGAAAAATGACTTTTTTAAGAAACTGAAAGAGATTTGAGATTTAAAGCAAATGTGTGTCCACCTGAAAAGTGAAAGAATGTTTATAAAAAAATGTAAATTTGAAAAAAAAAAAAAAGAAGAAGAAGAAGTCCTAGAAATGAGGAGTGCAGCACAGCCGGAGCGTTTTAAAGTGTATTCATACTTCATATACATATTGACAGGGTTCTGATACAGCATGGTTTCAATAGTGTGACCGTCTCTGAAGTTGGATGTTTGTTGGGTTTTTTTTGTTGGGTTATTTTTTTTTACAAGAATAACAATAAAAAATGATAACGACGACACCATGTATGACTCACTTTTAAAATTTTTTTTTATGGCAACGCTTGTCGTGAACGGATCCGTGAGCGTCTTCCCCGCCTCCGTTTGTTTTAAATGAATAAAACCGTTCAAAAATACTGGGACCAGCCGTGGCCAATCAGAGCCACTCGTATTCACACCTAGTGTCCAGAGTTTTCAGTTCCCAAAAAAAAAAAAAAATCGTGGCGCCAGGGGGGACTGAAACACACGTCAGTCAAACGCGGAACTTCCTGTGCAACAACGTACGCAGTCGTGCAGCCAGTACACAGTTCCACGACAACAAAAAACCACCGAACGTCGCGTTCTTCATCTGGTTTTTTTTTTTTTCTTCTTCCCATTTTCGCAGATGAAGATGGCAGACACCCGCCCTCGCTCCACAGCGCCCCCTCCTGCCCACTCCTTCTCTTTGCACATTTACAAAGATTTTTTTTTTACTTGAAAAATAAGACTGTCCACCTGATTCCTCAGGAATACTATCTGTACCATAAAAACCCCAGTGATGAAAAATAAGAACACTTTTCAAAAAAAATGGAATCCAAGATTCAGACATCGGACATTTTGGCCGATCCCTCTCTCTCTTTCGCTCTCGCTCGCTCACGCACGCACACGCTCACTCACACATTTCGCACTCGTACATATGACTTTTGAAAGGCAACAGATGTCCGTTCTCCAAGGCAATAATGTCTTTGTGGCAAACTTGACCCTGACAATCCAAACAATGGCACTCGGTCTTCGTCTTCTTCTTCTTCTCCTCCGGGAATGAAAAACCAACTCAAGCCATGATTCGTTCTTTTAAGTCTTCACATCCATTTTCAATCTGATGAGTAAATACTGATGATGAAGATACGAAAAAAATAAAATAATGAGGAATAAAATAAAAGTTGCGATCGTCTTAATATGATATGGTAATACAGGATACAACCCTCTCGCATTAGCTTTTCTGGGCTTCAAACCCACATTGCTCCCAATATGCATCTGGAAAAAAAGAAAAAAAAAGAGGAAAAAAAAAAGAAAAAAAGGTAAACAATAATACAAATGATAATAAATGAGTGTTTAACACTTTCATGGTGCCGGAAGAAAAGGAAATAAAGCCCAGGGTTGATGTTTGCTTTTTTTTTTTTTTCTCTCCTTTTTTTTGTTCTTCAAGTTTCCTCTCAATTCACTCCACCTTGACCTTTGACCTCTGTAGTTTTTCCACCCCTCTATGTTGCATGTCCATGTTTTTTTTTTTTCTTCCATTTTCTAGGTAAGAAGCAGTAACTCTTTGGAAAAAAAGAAAAAAAAAAGTTTCTTTTTTTTGTTTTTTTCTTCCTTTAAATGTGAATGACGCCGATTGGTGTAGAAGAAATTGTACATTCCATTTCGGTGTTGTCCATCACAGACCATAGTCCTGTCTTTTCCTGTGGGGATGAGAGTGGGCGCCCCGTCAGGACATTCAGGCGTCAAATGACCAAAACTAACCTGGAGCAGGAGACACAGAAATGAAGAGATACGCAGCGTCACAGGGAGAAGAAGAAGAGGAAGAGGAGGAGGAGGAGGAGGAGGTGTTTAAGGACCAGGAGTCAACCGTTCTGTGTCAGAGACATCGTACAAAAGAGGTGAGGTAGAGGGGGGAGCCAGGGTGGATCAAGGCGGGGGGTGGCTTGCGATGGAAGGACTGCAGTAAAGTTAAAAGCGGAGGTTTCAGCAGACGGTAGTGAGATCTGCTATGATGCACGGTTTCTGTAGAATGAACCGGAAGCTGAGATGGAGCTGGAGGTGGAGGAGAGGAGGATGATGGAGAGAATCACAAATGAAACAAGATCAGAGGGAGAGGTGAAGGTGGAGCAGTTTGGTGATGAAGTTAGAGGTGGAGGTGGAGCTGAAGCTGCCGGGCAAGAAGGAAAGAGTCCAGAGGGTTTATGGGTGTAGTGATGGAGGACATGCAGTTGGTTGGTGTAACAGTAGAGGGGGTGAGACGGAGGGAGGTGGAGGAGGGTGGAGGCACATGTTGACTACAGCTTTTGCAAGTTTTTTTTTTTTTTCTCCATTAGAACAGACCGGTGTAACCAAAGTGAGAAAACAAGAGCGCCATCTGCTGTGAACAGCAAAACTGCTACATCATGCAGAGGCAAAAATTAAGGTTGATAATGAATTATTAACTTTTTTAATTTTTTTAAATTTGGTCAAACGGGTCAACGTCGCGTTAAATCTAGTTCATATCAAACCTTTGTTAAAACTCTGTGAACTCACAGCAGCCGGACTCCTGCAGCTCCTCCTGCTCCTCCTCTGGTCGCTCAGCCTCTCTCTGACTGCTCCACATACACTGACTTGGCTGGCCTGACGATCTGGGTAAACTGTGGAGGAGAACCACACAGGAAGTTACAGTTTAATATAACCACAGCTACATAAATGACACAGAAGGTTCTGGTAGAAACAGAAAAAAAAGACTGCGATCGTTCCTCAGCCGTCACAGCAGCCGAGGCCTTGAACGCACAGCGGCGTAACCTAGCAACGCGCAGGAGCACGGTGTGCACCGCAGGACGGAGGGAGACTTGATCAGTGGACATGAATTGATCCAGGATCAGTCAAGACATCGACGGAGGATAACGACGGCCAAGAGCCAAGTCAAAAAGTCTAAGACATAACGATAAACCGTACATCTTTTTCAAGGTGAATTACAAAATAATTTATCCATAAATTCAAATCTAAAGTTCGTCTACTCGTGGTGGCGTCCGTGTCAGAGAATTCTTTCTTTGAAGAGTTCTGACGGACCTCAGGTCACGGCCTGGTTCTTTGTCTGGTCAATCCACCGACTTCAGGTGCATTCAAATTCAAATTCATTCAGTTATGGATGAAAAAGAAGAAAAAAAAAACTTTTGTAAAGCTTACATAACTTTAACAAGTTCCTTTTAGGTTTTGTTGAAAGTGAACTGAAAAATATATTTTTTTTTTCTAGCAAGACCTTAAAACTAGTGTCTGAAGAAAGAGTAAAGAGACCAACCTCTCCTTCTTTACCTTGTGCTTCGGACAGCGCAGTGAGTAGTTGTCTTCGTTCAGAGAACAATCTGGGCAGAAAGAAGAGAAAAAAACATTCACCGTGAAATTAAAGTCAGACATTTTGCAGCGAGGTCGTCTCCGACGCCGACACTCACCTGCTTCGATGGCACACAGGTAGTGGTATCTGAGTGTGCAGCCTTTGCTGTAGCAGCCCAGCGTGGAGCCCACCATCTCACAGTAGGAGCAGCTCTGGGTGGAGGTGACAGACAGAAGATCAGAAATGCACATTAAAAACCCCCGTGACACATCTGCAGCTGTAATTCACACAATCACAGCCAGGGGGGAGAGGGGTGGGGGCAAACTCTGGGTTTCAGCCTGCACTGATCCTAAATTAACAAAGACCACTCACTGTCTCCCTGGCGCCATCTAGTGCCTCCTGCAGGCCGTACAGCTTCCCATTGACAAGGTAAATCCCACTGGTCCACACGATGCATCCCTCGTGGACCCACAGCTCCTCTGGGTCCATGGGCATCTGGGGCAGCTGGGCCAGCTGGGCCAGTGGTCCCAGGGAGTCCAGGGCTGGAGGCGGGGGCTGGAAAGGCAGCGAGGCTTTGCTGTTCGAGGGCACCATCCTGGGGGAATCCTCGCTGGATTTGTGTCTCCTCTTGAAGCGGGGGTGCGAGGTCAGCTTCCTGTGTTGGGGCCACTGTTGAGCCTCCTCCGCCGGCGGCTGCTGCAGCAGCGGCGGCTGCATCTGTGTCTGCGTTTGCGTCTGCGTCTGCGGCGGGTCGGCGCCCAGGCCGGGCTCTCGCTTCAGCTCGGGAATGAGTCTCATATCCAGATTGAGGTCCCAGGAGAGAGACGTGGTTCTACTGGTGGAGCAGAATGTGTTGTTACTGAACGCCGACGCCACGCTCATCATGATGTTATCGGTGACACCTGGTGGAGACGGCGCTCTCAGCGGAGCGCCGAACGAATCCAGACTGATGGCGTTGTCACACTCGGACAGAGGCTTGTTAAACTGGGCGTCTTGGGCGTGAGAGTCCTGGACGGCGCTCGGCGGAGTGCTGGCGTTCACGTCGGGGTTTGGTCCGGTTCTGTTGGTGCCGGTGCCCGTCTGACACTGTCTGACCTGAGGCTGGTTTTTCGGGAGCTTTGCAGCGTACTCGGCCGGATAGAAGGGTCCGTAGAGATCGCCCAGGTGTTTGTAATTGGCCCATTTCTGACACAGGCAGCAGAGCAGACGCCCAGAGTGACTGGTCTCCGTAATCACGGGGCCGGAGACGACGTAGTCCGACGAAGGAAGTGCTTTTCCAGACGGGAGAGTCGTTTCCACCTCCTCCGTTATCCGTCTCTCCGATTCTTTGTCTTTCCTTGACAGCTGTGAGGAGAGAGCCGAGGTCAGGAGAGAATCAATCGCACTTGCGCCTCCTTTCCCCACCACTGCGCTGCGCTCTCCCTTCATCTTGTCCTCCTCTGCGTTAACGATGGTGCACACGGCCCCGATTTCCGGTACTTTCTTCTCCACGTGTATGTGTGGCACAAAGACGCCTTTTCTGTTTGAATCCAGGAAGACTCTGCTGGTGCCCAGGCTACAGAACACACTCTCTGAAGGTGTATCTGGGTCATCTTTAGTCACTGAAGGGGGCACCACCGTGGCCGCCCGCCTCCTCCTCCTCCTCTGCTGCCCGCCCGCTTCAAAAGGCTCGTCTTCGTCTTTGACACCTCTGCGCCGCCGCCGCACAGGTTTGACCTCCGTCTCCGGCTGCGTGTCCTCGCTCTCAACGTCCACTTTTATAACCTGGGTCAAAACTGGAGGAGTCAAGGGAGGAGTCGTTTTACTGTCTGACAGAGGGGGCGCTGTGGGCTCTGGGGAGCTGCTGCCAGCCTGCACAGCCTGCGGGGGTGGAGTGGTGACTGTGGCCGGAGTGGGTGGGCCAGAAAGAACGGTCACAGTTGTGTTCTGTGTTTGGACTTGAGTCTGGGGCTGACCCTGCGTCTGGACCGGGTTCTGGCTCTGGTTCTGGCTCTGGGCCTTCTTTTGTTTGTTTACGCTGCCCACCGGCCGGCCCTTCTTCTTCCCAGATGGGAAGTAGCCTTTAGGGACAAGGCTTTCTTGTTTAGAGTCTTGTGGGGACAGACTGGACCTCCCGGAGGACATGGAGTGTCTGCTCAGCATGTGTCCTTGAGGGGGGGTGGCGCCGTAGTAGTCACTCCCAGGATAGTCCTCAAAGCCCATCCCAGATTCTTGAAGTTTCTGTCGGAGGAGGTTGGCAGCCGACTGCTCTCCTCTCCTCGTCTCCAGCTGCTGATAAGTGTTGGTGAAGTGCTGAATATCGGACAGCGCTGAGGAGGACGGCGGTGGAGAGCCTTGGACGGGGCGTGGGACGGGCGGAGGAGGGGGCAAGGGTCCGAGCAGGGCAAAGTCCTCCTTGTCGTCGGACGCTGAAGCCACCGCGGCTCCTAATCCAAAGTCAAAGTCCGGTTTGATGGTTTGGGACGCCTGGTGGGGGTCACACGGGTAGGTGGGCAGAGGCAACGGTCCCGTCTCATCAACTCCCCTGAAGGGAATCATGTTGTTCAAGGAGTGGCCGTCGTCCAGGAACCCGTCGTTCACCCCTGACACTCTGGAGAAATGAGCCAAGTCCTGGTCCTGGGACTCATTAAAGGGCTGCGATTCTGTCTGAGAGAAGCACGGATAATGGTTCGAGTCCTCATCAGCGTGAGGAGCCGATGACTTTTTAATATTTGGGGTAATTTTCTGAACTATTGCCTCCAGTTTCAAACCCCGTCCTTTCCTAGGAGTCATACTTTTAGCATTAGCATGTGCGGGAGACACGGCGTGGGAGTACATGTTCTCCCCCTGCGTCGGAGAAGTCAGCCTCGGACACGGGACGTCCGAGCCGTCCGACTCGTCCTTACTGTGGTTGCCGGCCTCAGTTTGAGCCCCGGGAGAGTGGTGTGAGTTTGCGGCGGCTCTGTGCTGTGATATGTCCTGCAAATGCCTTTTGGCCGGAATGGGAGAGATAAAAGATCGAACCCTCCTCCTCAGCATTAGCGGGTTAGTGTCTGCAGAACCCCCGGCTTTGGTCTGACGTACCTGTGGTGCAGTGGAGTTAGTGTCCTCGGGAGGCTTGGTGGAACTGGGAGGAGGAGGAGGAGGAAGAGGAGGAGGAGGAAGAGGGCAGGGGGGTTTGACATCTTGGGTGATTTTAGTTTCAGCAGCAGCCGTTTGACCGTGACTCATTAGCGGCAGAGCGGGGCCCTGGGACGCCACAGGGGGAGGAGCAGGAAGAGGGGGAGGAGGGGGAGGCGGCGGGGGCTTTGTTCTGAAATAGGAGTCTCCTTCCAACATTCTGGGGACTTCCCGACCCGCGTGCGTCGACTCCCACATTTTCAAATTGTAGTAAGGACTCTGATGATGCATTGACATTTTGCTCGGGTGCTGCTCGTCGGACATGTCAGTCTGGGGGATCATCCTCTGTCTTGGCTCTGATTGGCTGACCTTGTGTCTTCCTGGAGAGGAGCCCGGCTGCATCATCACGTCCTTGGTCGGCCTGTTCATCGCCTTCACCCACTCACTTATCTCGTGCGGGTGATGCGGCAGACCTCGAGCGTGGGGATACATCTGAAGCTTATTGGTGGACTGACTCGGGTGAGACAGGTTGTGGTAGGGGTGGTGGGGGGGGAAATGCGGGCCGCTGCGTGGAATCATGTTCCCGTCTCTCGTATCTCCGTATCGATATCCGGGAAAACCGCTGCCGCTGCCAGCTGATAAATCAACACCGTGGAGGTAGGACTGATGCCTCGAGGGCGACGATAAAGGATTAGCGCTCATGGGGTGAGACGACAAGGAGGAAATGTCTACGTTTCCTCTCCTGTAGGGGTCAGCGTTCATTACAACAGATGACTTTTGATGATACTCCATGTCAGGCTCGTGGAGTCCCCCGCCGCCGTGGTGATCTGTCTGTAAATTCAAAGCCTCTGGACCCGACTCCTTCGACACCATTTCCATTTTCACCACCTGTTTCTCGACGATGTCTTTCTTACTTAAGTCGCTGGCTGCTGCCTGGCTGGAAAATGGCTGCTGGATGACAGAAGGGCCAGGCTGACTTTTCTCTCTCTCTTTCTCCCGTTCGCTTTCCCTGTCCCTTTCGGGCGTGCTGCGTCGGTTCGGGGAAACATCACAGATGACGGAGCAGCGCTCAGAAGGGACCAGTACGGAGGAGACGGAGGAGGAGGAGGAGGACTTTAGAGACTCGTTTTGACCACCGCTGCCAGTTAGTGGTTCTGGCTCTTGCATAAGAAGCTCCTGAACGGCAGAGGACGAAGTGGACAAATTAGACAACACTTTTCTTTGTGGTAAAGAGTAGTCGGCTAAGTTTATATGTTTGGGTGGGGGCTGCTGAGCTTCTGCAGCCTGTGGTAAATCGCTCTGAGACACACCCAGTTCAGGTCTGTCTGCATTTTGCAAAATACTTGCATTTGACACTTCTGACTTCACCAGCGGTTGAGGCTCAGAGGTGAAATCGGGCTCACTCCCGTGACGCAGGTTTGAGTGCACGGGTTTACCGTCTATTTGGCCTGAATGAGCCAAAGTGTCGGAAACTCCACTTTGCATTCTCATGTTGTCGTTGAGTCCGTACGGGTGTCTGGTCTGAAACTGTTGTTGAGCTAAAAGATGCGCAGGGAACGTCTGCTCGGCTCGGCCGTAGCGTCGGTCTAAATTGTAACCCTGGAGAACCTCCTGTAACAAGCTGGGAAACTGCTGCAACTGAGAGCCGTCCTCCAGAACTTTAGTCCCAGGTCCTTGGCCTCGCTTCACCAACGGCTCTGCTAAAGAAACGCCGTCTTTCGGATGAACGGGGCCGTAGCCAGTCTGTGACTGTTGGTACCCAAAGTATCTGGAATTTGATTCCATCACACTCCCATCACCAGCCCTCCCTCTTTTCTTTATTGAAAAATCTGAGCCATATGTCGACTCTGGGTAGCCATATTTATGTGGTCCAGACTGCGGAGGGTTTTGAGGACGGCCAAAATTTGATTTCTGGTGTTGGGAGGAATACAGACTCAGATCCACTCCTTCGTCTCCGTTGTGGCTGCTGGACTCTCTCAAATACAAGGGTTTCTCTTCGGCGCTGTTGTCCTGGAGCTGTTTGCCTTTCTCGGCGCGGCTCCCCTCAGATCTGGCTGAAACAATCACACCGACACCACTGGCACTTTGCTGCTCGTCAGACGTGTGCTTTTCTTCCCTCTCGATGTTGTGTAATCGAGATGCAATGTGTGACTTATTTTCTTTTTCCTGACCGTTCTGTGTGCTGACTTCACAATCTCTCAGCATCTGGCTTCTGTCTTTCTCTGTTTTCTCAGCTTGACCTTCACTTTCTTTTTTGATGACTTCATTTTTAACAGCTGCAGTCTTACTGTGCCCACCTCTGTTGTCACTGTAGGTTAAGTCAGACTGTACGACACAGTTTGGCTGGGGAGGTGGAGGAATGCTTCTGGACGAGGACGAGGACGTTCGATGTGAAACTGGACCAGTCTCAGATGGCTGCCGTCCAGCAGGGGGAGACGACGCAGAAGACGCTTCGTGCGCTTCGTTTTCTTTCGCTTCAGAAACATTAGGGTCTTTTGAAAGTGCATCTGGGCTGATGAGAGATTTAACGTTGGCTGCCGGTCCAGCGGGTTCCTGGATGTGACTCCGATGATAGTTTGCGGGTTCAGATCCGCTGCTCGCTCCACTCATCTGCCTCACTCTGCCGTGTTCTCCCTCGGAGAGCTGCTCCTCGCGCTCCACCTTGGCACCTAACGAGCCTCCGACTGACATCAGCGAGGAGTCTTCATCCACGCTGGCGTCTATGCTGGCACCGTCCGCACTCCCTCCTGCGCTTCCGTCTTTGACCGTGCTGGTGCTGGACGCCGCGCTGGCATTTCGACTTCTGGGCTGTGAAGTTGGCACGCCTGCCGCCTGCTGCATCAGCGTGCCGTCTTTCTTCTTCTGCGTGAGCACCGTGTCGGTGAGGAGCATGTGCTGAATTGTGTTTGGTAAATTTGCTACTTGCGAGCTCAGAGCATTTAGACTATTCAGGCCTGGATCTTGCATTTTATCGAGAGGAGAAGATGAATACGTCGTATGTCCTTCATCTCTGGCTCCGATTCCTGCTCCTAAAACCATTTTGTTCCGGCCTGTTGGAGGGTGGCCGCTCCCGGCGGCTGAACCCATGCCGTGGGTTTTATGGCTGCCGCTGCTTCCACAACTACTGATGCTGCTGTTGGAGTTGGGTGTGGGACTTAACTGAGGCATGGACTGCAGTAATCTGCCATGACTATGGCTGCTACGGGGGTTTGACGGGGCATGTGAAGGACCGTGACCCAGGGGGTTTCCGTGTGTCTCCGGGACACCCATCAAAGGGGAAGGAGAGGAGCTACAACTGGGGGAGTGAACCGCTGAGGCAGCCGGAGACGGGTTCGATATCGGGCTAAAGTTTTGGTTGATTTGAGTTTGCTGCGCGTTAGGGTGCATCGGGGATTTGGCTATTTCTTGAGAAGCTGCTTGAGGTATGCTTGGATTAGAGGCTTGGTGATGTTTGGAGTACACGGAGCCGGGAGACGGGCCCTGGTGTTTGACAGACGTGTCGTAACCTACGCCTAAGTTGTGCTGCGAGTTGCGGTGCTGAATCGTGGCCTGCTTGTGGAGAGAGTGGGCCTGCGGAGGGTAACCGGGGTAGTTGGCTGCGTGGTAGCTCTGCTGAACGTTCTCCATTGGCCCCACGTTGTTAGCAGCTAGTGAACTGGAGACAGAGTTTGAACCAGAGTTGACACTGGGAGAGCTGTTGACCTTGGGATCAAACCCGGCGTTTGCCGCCCCGTCAAGGTACCTCTGCGGCGGGGGGCTGTACATTCCAGATGAGCCTGTGGATGCTCCACTCTGTGGGGAGTAGTGGGGGTACTGTGGGGTCATACGGTGCCCAGAGTGAGGGTAGCTCCTATGCTGTTGTCCGTGGTGGACAGGTGCAAAGTTTTGCCCGTGCTGACGGTGCTGCATCTGAGAGGCCGGCACCGACTGCATCGCTGCGTTCTGACTTATGTTGTACTGGTGGGTTGGAGAGAAGGCCCCGGGCCCTGCCGCTGCACCAGAGGCACCACTGGAGCCGTAGTCCACCGCGTACGGAGACATCAGTCCGGACGATGGAGCAGCACCGGACGCACCATGCCGATAATGGTGAGGTATTTGTCCATCGATGCTCGGGTATCCAAATCCAGCCGCGTAGCCCACACCCCCCCTTCTCTGCCTGTCCTTCCCGCCCATTGAAAAATAATAGTCCATAGCGTCCTTCCTATACGGGTTTGTACTATTGCCACTGTGAATGTTACCCTGTGTCGGCGATGGCTCTACAGCTACTCTGTTTCTCGCGCTGTACGCGAGCATGTGGCTCGCCTGAGTGGGGTGGTGGTGGCTCCTGTGCAGACTCTGTTGTTGCATCCCTGCGTAATCTTCCGTCATCCTTGGGGAGATCTGAGGGTCGGCAGGCTGATGGGGGTAAGGAGTACTCCCTCCAGCGCCCCTCCCACTGAAGCCGTGGGGCAGAGGCGTCGGAGCGGGACTGTTAGAAAAATTCTGCATTATTTTCCTCGTAACAAAGTTTGAATTAACAACAGAAAATATCTGTCAGTGTCTCGATCGGCAAATGTTTTTGATCAGATACTTGTAGTAGTTTTATGGCAGGAACCATAAGTGACACAAAAGAGAGTCTATGGCCTGGCAGTAAAACGGGAGAATGCTTTTGAAAGAGCTGCGGCAGATATCACAAATGCTGCAATCATTTTTTTTATGGCAAAAAGTTCTTGAAAGATGGAACAGATAATGATTTTCGTCTATACAAAACGGCTGAAAGTTAAAAATCCTTTCTTTAGTAGGATGGCTGTTTTCACTTAAAAATGTTTTTTTTTTCCTAGCGCTGGGTTTTATAAAATTTGGTTTTCTCCAACAAAAAAAGAAGAAAAAAGAAAAAAAGTAGGCAGCAGATTTCCTACGGTGGAAATGTAGAAGATGAAAAGTGCACAGTCACTTCCACAAAGCTAACGTTTGGCACAGAGCAGTGTTAGGTTCTCGTGGACCGAGGTGGATGAACCTCCAGCATTTGAGAAGTTCCACCTCAAACGTCTTTACGTCTACGCGCTAAAGTAGGCGGAGCTAGATCAGGATTAAATAGGATGAGGATCCAGAAGCATCTCGTACAAATAAAAAAGAAAGATCCTCAAAATCCTTGAGTCTGTGTTCCATCACAGGAGAAGTCCTCCAGTTGGTGTCCGACCCGACTCACACCTGTGTGAGGCGAAAACTGCAGCAACACAATCAGGTCTGGACCTGCGCGGAACAATCCCAGAGGCAAACACTCCATTGATATTTTCATTAAATTGTGGATGCAGACTGTAGCGCCCTCGGAGTTATCCTCTGTCTTGGTCATTCCCTTTCAAATGCCGTTTTCTTTTTTCTTCTTCTTCGCAGCTACCAGATGCAATCATTTGAACTGCAGAGGTCTTTTGGTCCCTACTAAAGCAATCGCTCTTCCCTCAGGTCTGCATTCACATTCCTTTCGGTGCTCTCCTGTATTTTATTTTCAGCACACGGCAATCTCACCTTTGTTTTTCCTCTGAAAACAATAATTTAATTTCACCTAGTTCCATGGCAACCATTTTTTTGTTTTGTTCCCGAAGCAGAGTAATCCATTCATTCAGCTTCAATTCAGTCACTTTAAGGTCCACTTTTGTTGCAGTCTCTCTTCAGTTATTTCCATTCAGATGAGTTTTTGTTTGTCCAGGATTTGCTGACCAGACGTCTTCCGACTCTGCAAACACAAGAGATGAATCGACCACATTAGCAAACAATAATGAATAGGCAACACTGGTCTGGTGCGATATTGTGTTGTTTTATTGAAATACTTAGAGGAGAATAATTTACTCTCGTCACCTGATAAGACTATAACTCCTTCTAGACGGCCTCGGCTGCAAATGAACATATTTACTGAGGAGGGATTGATCTAAATAAACAAAATTAGTTTTTTTTTTCCCCCCCACCTTTGTTTCAGTCTCCATTTCATTCTTGTATTGCTGAAGTTGCACTTCATGCAAAAAGAAATAAAGGGAAATAAAGGATTTAACGATCTGCATTTCCCCGATCGTTGGATTTATCTCCGGCCTTCTGCAACAGAATAAAACCATCTCTGTAACAAGTTCACAGACCAAACAGAGTCTGTTAACGTTAACCTCTCGGCGTCTCCTCCTCCTCCTATCACACACCTCACCACACATCTTCACCTCTGCCCTTCTGTTTCAAAATATGGACCCCGGGTACGGCCTTGGCCGCGGCTGCCGCTCTCGCCCTACACACCTAAGCCTCAAAATATGGACCCCGGGTACGGCCTTCGCCGCGGCTGCCGCTCTCGCCCTAGCGCCACCAGCTGATAACAAACGGGACTGACGGCAGCAGCAGCAGCAGCAGGACGTTAAAGAAACAAAAGCAGCGTGAGATAAAGTGGCAAACACTTGTAAACACACGGCGCCGTCGGAGCCCAGGTCGAGGCACCGCGTCTCCCACGTCTCCGTAATGGCTGCAGTGAACGTTGTTAACTTCAGACACTTAACTGGTTTTTAACAGGCCTTTAATTATCACAGATGACACTTAATAAAAGGAGGATGCCACTTTTATGGGGTCAGTTTACACAATAGCCATGTGAGACAAAAGCCTCTATTATGTGCTTTAAACACGCTGTAAAAACGGTTAACGACTCAACAAGAACCGAGGCTGCACTCGTGCTGGAGGCAGATGCACATTTTTGTCTAAACTCACACGTTCCGAGCAGCGCTGAATATTCTATTAAATATAAATGATCCTTTAGGGGTTGGTGTTAACAGACCGGCGATGCGGTTTATAATTATTTTAATAGAAATCTTTTTTTTTTATACACAGTATATAATTGAAGACTCTTTATTGTTCTGTTTTTTTTTTTGTTTTATACTTTTCCTCCCTTTATATTCCAGGGCGGTTTTATCCGCTCAGTCCTTGAGTTAAAATTTCATACAACTGTGTAGTGAAAATCCTTGAATCCTTTTTTTTTTAAAGAAAATCAAATAATACATAAAATACACAACTGTAAAACATGTCCAAAACCTTTAGTTAACAGTAGATTCAGATTGTTCAGTGCGTAGGGGAAATCATAACAGAATCATTTTGGGGGGTAACTTTCTTTAGACAATCAGTAACGGATCAGTCATCAAATGGTGGACTAATTGTTGCCGATGTAGTTCAAAAATTATCTGCCTCCATCCCAGGTTTTTTTTCTATAACCGACTCTCTAAATATAGACGTGGCAGTAGTAGAAGTTGGTCACCTCCTTTTTTTTTTTATTTCACATCAATATCATCATCCTCACAAGTCAATGTGCTGACCATAAGTCACACATGGTCCTGGTCCTGGTCCTGGTCCTGGGACTAGGACTCCAGGCTGCAGCATGAGTGAATACTTCTGTCAACTCTTGTCACCACTACTACACTATAATGACTATTGTGTGTGTGTGTGTGTAGAATAATGCAGGAAACAATAGAAATTCTAATTTAAGCACATCTGAAGAATCTAAAACTGTCCAGAAAAAAAAAATTATTATTAGAAAAATCTCATAGACCGTTTATAAGAACTGGACGGAGCTCATGTGACAACAAACTACAGAAGTTGCACAATAAGCCACGCGTCTACATCTGTGAGAAATCATACTGTTACTATACAACTTTATTTTTGCGATGACGTTTTGTTTTGTAGATGCCAGGTTCCATCTTCAAGCCCTGCTGCCAAAATTTCCTCTAAACGTGATTATAAATGATCATTAACAGGACATTTGGTTCTACTGAAAAAGACCTGGGACTAGGTAGGACTAGATAAGACTAGGTAGTTAGACCTGCAACTTTTACCTATTTTATAATGTGAAACAGTAGCAACATTTGTCTTTCCGTTGACTTCCTGTCTCTGTTGTTACAGTGTTACACTGTAGCTATGTCTGTTGTGAAATTAGTATTTTTTAAGCATGAAAACGAAGCAGAATTCTGATAATTCTGTTGTTATTTATCATTATTAACGACGGTTACAGCCGCTCACAACACGTGTCGTTACATTAGATCTTTTACGGCCCAGTGAGTGTGTTGTACATGTGGACAGTTTGGAAACAATCTAGAAGATTCTTCCTTAAATCAAACACACACACACACAGCTTCTATCCAGCGGATCTATGTCCCGGTGCTAAACACAAACCGACCGAGACACAGACAGAGAGAGAGAGAGGAGTCTAAACCCGTGCCATTAGTCCTCGTCATTAATCAACTGATTGATCCATATCTCGATTACTAATTAATCACAGCAGCTCCTTGAGCAGGAAGCACACAACACACACACAGTGCAGCATTAATGAAACCTGACTCAATGCAGGTCCGTCCCGGGAGTCAATCAGCTGCATGGCTGCCTAATTGATGGGAGCGTTCGTTTGTTCTGTTTGTGGCCTCCATTAAAAAAATAAAATAAAATAAAAATATGATAACACACCCGTCGCTTCATGTGTTCTCGTCTCGCAGTGTCACAGACTCTACACATCAACACTGGCGTTTGTACAGCAGCGTTAGCAGCTACGTTAGCCATAACCAGGGTATACGCCACACAGTTAGCTCCGCGCTGCCTCCTCTGGAAGCTTAGCTTTTAGCCAGAGAGGAGAGAGAGACCACGGCTCATTAAAGTGTCCGAATTAAATACGTCTATTACAGAGAGTGTCACAGTGGGGAGCTGGAAGGCGCTACGAACCCGGGTTAGCATCTTAGCGGAAAGGCTAAAATGACTGTGGAAAAAGGGGTTTTTTTTTTTTTTTTTGAGGACGTGCATGGGGAGAGACAGGCTAAACGCTTAGCTACAATAGAGAGGTGATTGGGTGCAGATGTTTGACTGGGGCTCACGGTAAACGGGGGGTGAAGGAGGGGAGAGAAAGCGAAGCTGTAATAAGAGTTCGCACCAGCGAAGGCTCCGCTGTGGAGACGGCGTCACCAAATCTCCCCCTTCTTCACCGCAGCCTGACATATATATATATATTTTCTTTCCCCCCTTTTTTCCTTGAATAAACACCGCTAACGTTTGTCAGACAGGGACGGCGCTATGCTAACGCGGTCTGCGTGCATACCTGAAAACGCAGCAGTACAAGGCCCCTCGGAGTGAAAGGCTGTTTTGTGACAATCCCGCCGCTGTGGCTGTGGCTGTGGAAGCCCAGTCCTCGAGTCCGCCGCTCCGCCGCCGAGTCCAGACAACCCCGAGCAGCAGCGGCGGCAGCCAAGCCCAGGATGAGGCGGCGGCGGTGTTGGTGTTGGTGGGGGGGCGTCACGACACTCAGATCCCGGGGCCTTTTTATTCCGACAGCCCCCCTTTCTTTTTCTTTTGTCCTCACCTCCAAAAAAAAAAAAAAAATGATGAGAGCGGAGCAACAATCGGGGGGTGCCTGTGGGTCCCGGAGCCAGTGAGGTCCACACACCCCCTCCCCCTTCCTTCCCTCGCTCTCTCTCTCTTTCTCTCTCTCTCCCTCACTCACACACACTCTCACACACACATACCGCTGAGGTGATTCCACCTTTTCTACCTCCAACTCCCATTAAAACACATCTTCGCGCTCACGCCAACATCGCCGGCGTCACTTTCCTCTCTCACTGAGCCGCGAACGCATGCCTTCATCGGCGGCTCAACCTCTTCGCTTTCCTGTTAGACTACAGTGCATGTGAATGTGTGTGTTAGTGTTAGTGTGTGTGTGTGTGACAGAGAACAGAGGTCAGAGTCAGGAAGGACGACGTTGAATGTTTGGATTTGTTAAACAGACAAATATTGTCGTTGGCCCCCTCCTCTCTCCATCACCTCCTTTCTCTCTCTGGAGCTTATTGCAATTTCACTTATTTAAACGTTAAAAAAAAATCAAAAAAAGAAGAAAAAAAAAAGAAAATCTGAGATTATACAAATGTTGTAGAATTCATATGGTTTTCGACTGAACAAAGCTCCTTTGTTCTGCTCTGGTCCAGAGGGAATAAAGGCAGAGTGATGAAGGCACCAGGGTACAAAGGCAACATGGAGAGGAGCCAGGACTGGACGTATGGACGTATGTGGACTAACTGAGACCAACACTCCAGCATCAGAGGACGACTGCAGCACAGCACAGTCGACCGGCTCCTGGTTGTTGCGGTTTCTTGATGCTTAAATACACACACACACACACACACACACACACAGACAGAGCAGCTCTACTGTTGCTGTTCATGTGTGTCACATCCAGCCACTGCTTAACGTTCAACACAACGTCATCATCATTGTGTCTGTAACAACGACACAGGTGATGGAAATGGACCTGCCCCGCAGCAGGGGCCGGTCACTGTGGTGCAGCCCACTCCCACTCCCACTCCCACACCCGCCACGCTCATCATCATAATGATGTGGCCCCCCGGCCCCCGGCCCCCGGCGGCCCGTGGTGCTTCACTTTTAACGTCGCGGCCGTCTGCACATCTGTATGTAAGTCACTCACTCAAAGCATCAATCACCGCGTAGAACCGGCGTAAAAAAAAATCTCCGGCAGTTTTTCTAAACAACAGTTCAATACATTTCATTTCCGAGCAGATACAGGACTATTTCTATCACTGTTGCCATAGCAACTGCATCACAGAGCCATAACTGTGGATAATTTTTAGGCTACGTGTCTGCACTTGCTTTTTTACATTTGTAATTTTCAAACTGACATTTCTCTCTTCAACGCCGCACCGACGAATCAGATTCAAGTTGATGTGCGTATATGCGTGTGTGCGTATATGTGTGTGTGTGTGTGTGTGTACCTGCCATTGTCACCAAGTAGGAGTGAGAGAGCAGAGAGGGGAGATAAAGGGCATTGGTACACTGGGCCGGCAAGTCAGGCAGCCAGGCTTGTCCAATCAACAGGGACGCCTGCTGGGATACACACACACACACACACACACACACACACACACACACACACACAGACTGTTCACCATCACCAGCAAGGTCACAAAATCTTCTACAGAGGAGGCTCAGAGCACAGAGCTGTCGCGAAGGCAACCGGTCTCCAGCGCGGCGGCGACGTCCTCCATATCTGTGGCGTCCACGCGGTGGGACAGATCAGCTCTGGCAGCCGCAGCCTCTGATTCCTCTCCTGACTCTGATTAGAGCCTCAGTTTTTCTCTAATTGCAAATCGTGCAATTAGATTTTTTATTTATTTATTTATTTTGTTGCCAACACGAGCCTGAAGATAACTGGAAGCCAACCTGCCAGTTCTGAACATCCTGTTGTGTTGACGCCATTACATTCATGTAAATGGAAAAAGGTATTTTTATTTCCTCGTGGAGCAGCGGGTTACACTTCTGTAGTTATTATATGGTGGAAAGCTGCCTTTTATCTCCTGTGTAACCAGACTTTACACACATGTACAACGGAGGAGGAGGAAAATGTGTCTCCAAATTGTATTCTCTGTAGTTTTTTTGGGGTAATCACCAAGTGAGGTCCAAAAGTTCTCAGACAGATGTTACACAAGGTGTAAAATAAAAACATAAAAAATAAAAAAAATCTCTCCAACAACACTGGCCAGGTTTTTCACACCTATAAAAAAATGAACAATTTTCGAACAAATTTTTTTGTTTCATTTTGATCCAAATTCTTTTGGTTTTTTTTTGTTTGTTTATTTTTGTTTTTTGAAAATTGAAAGGACATTTGACTGGAACTTGTTTCCAGTCTTTAAAGGAGACAAAGACGCAGGTTCAGAACAGACGTCCTGGATGAAAACACAGCCTGTAAAACACACTTCACTGTTTGTTGTCATTGATTTTTTAAAGACTGTTGAACTGGCTTCAAAAATAATAAATAACAAAAACTAAATAAAAAAAATCACATCTGCCATTGATTTGTTCTTGTTCTGCTCTTTTCCTAATTCTCCTCATGTCTGTTCTCATCTGTACGTTCCAATCAGAGGACTGTGTTCTTTGTGTTAAAGGCCTCTCCCTTCCTACCCCATCTTCCTGGTGTCATCCTCCCCCTGGAGGTTATTACCAGACTTCGCCCTGATCCTACAGCTGTCTGTTGAGCAGCACTGGAGTTTTAATTGGACTCTGTCTCTCTTAACATTTCACTTTCATTTTTCCACCACTGTCTTGCCAGTTTCTCTGCAGTTTTTTTTTTTTTTCTATTTCCACTGCCTCGGCTCATCCTCTGGAATTCTTTGAACTTGTTGATAATAATTCTCAGTTGAGTTCTTGACACTCTGCAGTTTCAAATTCTGTTTTTTTTGGGTTTTTTTTTTTGGCATTCTTTCACTTTGAGTGCGGTGCTTTCACAAACCAGTTAAAAACCTGAACTGGTGGAGTGGATCTGAAAAATAAACCTTGGCGTTAACCTTAATCTAACACCTCCGTCACGATAAAGATGTGTTTTCTGAAGAGGTGTGTCGTTCATTTTTGACATGACTGGATTTTTCTGATTGTGAAAAAAAATTAATTCCTGAATAAAACGGAAATATTCAGCTTCAACTGCTGTGGAAAAAAAAATTAGAATCCATAATCTTTTCAAATGTGCTTGAGAAAATGTCTTTTTCTATTTTGAAAAAACGTGTTGACCATAATGGTCCAAATAACAAAGAAGGCCCTGCAGGACAGTCTGAGGACTGCACTCTGACTAATACCAGTTCATCAGCCTGCAGGGACCAACCTCAGTCAGACGTGTGTCAGTTAGATCAGTCATGTGACCTGTATGTCTGTATCTGACGTCGACACACGGTCCTGTCCAAACACCGTCGTCCAAAAACCTCCTCCTCCTCGAGGACGTTTCTCAGCAGAGCAAACACGTCCACGTCTAATGAACTGCAGCGCGTCGAGTCTGAACAAAAGCTCTGAGAGCCGGTGAAGTACGCTGCCACTCAACTCAGGCAGGTGAATGGGCAATTAAAACTCAACAGGAAGGGGCTTTTTTTTCACTGACAACCTCAGTTGTATGAATGAAAAGATGGAGAAGGAGGAGAAGGAGGAAGAGGAGGAGGAAGAGGAGGAGGAGGAAGAGGAGGAAGAGGAGGAGGAGGAGGAGGAGAAGCTTTTCTTTACAGGTTATTCTGAGTGGAGGGGTGAGGCAGGGAGGCAGCTCCATCACCCCTGAAAACCTCCGACACCGTTCTGTTATATCAGTCATTTAAAATTCTGTCACTCTTTTGACCGATGTGTTTATTAAATATAATGAAGTTACAAGAAAATTCAAGGTTTGTCCTGGTTATTAAAACATAAAAATATTTTTTTAAAAACTTTAATTAAAAAAAAATCTAAAAAGAGAATTTCATCTTTTTAGAATTCTGTCTTTGCCACCAGGTCAACAATTGTTTCTTAGCGTCCTTTCAGGTTGGAAAAAAATTTAAAAAATATTGTAACATGGAGCAGCAGAAAAAAGATGAAGAAAAGAACAAGATATATTAGGTATATAAAAGTCTTCAGACAAAACAGACATTCAGTTTGTCTACCGAGGTGAAAACGGTGAACTGAGAAAATAAAATGTCATTTGATTCTATTTTCCGTGTCCATCATTTAAAAGATAGAAAAATGAAAACTATTGTAACATCAAACATTGCGACCTCAGCCTCAGCCTCAGCCTCACTGAGACTGGCGTCCTGCAGCATCCGGTTTCTGTGGCAACCACCAAGGACGTTCCTGAAAAAAGGAACAGTGACATGCAGTTCCCACAATGAACACCAGGAGGCAGGGTTATACAACAAACCCCAATAAAGCGACAGTAGAGCTGCAGACACTGAAGAATCTGACAGTAAAAATAATATTGTTTTCTTTTTCTTTTCAAAGACCTCAGTCCGTTAGTTCCTTCGGAGAGTCTCAGACGCTGATCTTTTACATCTGACATTTTTGAAAAACATCATCATCATCATCAACAACAACAACAATGTCCAACAGTAAAAGTGTCACGTCAGCAGATGGAGCAGAGATATGAAAACAATGTTATGATTTCCACAGGTGTGTCAGCCCACGTCATCAACCCAGATAACAAAAACATGAATCCAACCCCCCCCCCCCCCCCCCCCCCACACACACACACACACACACACTCACCTCACTGGGATCCGTTTGCCTGTCCATCAAAGAGGAGGCTGTGAACGAATCAATTCCAATGTTGACCAACTAATCCAACAGGGGGCGCTCTCTCCCCGCGTCTCTCAGCGCTCTGTCTCTAACGTCCAGACCGGCTGCCACACTCTCCTCGTCTCCTAGCAACCACAGCACCCTGCCTCCAATCACTACGTATAAAAGTGTTTCCAGGTTATACTGCAGTTCAAACACACAAGAACAGAAGAAGTAGAAGAGGAAGAGGGGGAGGAGGAAGAGGAGGTGGTGACCAGGCTACAGCATCAGCATCCAAAGCAGCCGAGCTGAGAGTGTGCAGTTGATCCCAGGGTGAGATCCAGGCTGAGTCCTGGAGTCCTGGAGTCCTGGAGTCATGGAGTCCTGGAGTCCTGGAGTCCTGGAGTCCTGGAGTCCTGGAGTCCAGGAGTCCTGGGGTCCCTGAGTCTCATGTCC